AGAAAAATGAGCAACCATCTTAAGAAACATCCTAAAAAACGCTATCTGGGACATATATTTGGACTTAGCCAAACTGATTTTTATTGATATTATGAAACACTATGACAAAAAGCAAACTTTGGGAGGAAACAGCTTATTTTATCTTACAGCTTATAGACCATCACTGAAGGAAGTCAGGGCAGGAACCTGAAGGGAATAACTTAAGGAGAGGCCATGAAGAAATGTTGCCTATTGGCTTGCTTCTCATGGTTTGCTCACCCTGCTTTCTCCTGCAATCCAGAAACACAAGCCCAGGGGTGGCACTGTTCACAGTGACCAGGGCCCTCCCACATCAATCATTAATCAAGAAAATGTCCCACAAAGACCAATCTGATGGTGGGTCCCTCCTGTCAGATATGTCTAAGTTTTCATCAAGATGACAAAACCAACCAGCATAACATTTTACAAAGTTCACACGAGAAAAAGTGGTCTTCTTAGTTGTTAGTGCATACATATATAACTCCTGAGTAAAGGAAAGAGCATAAAGCTTCCTTCTACCTCTCAGGATGCTACTTTGCCACATGTAACTCAAAACATGTGAAGTTTTTTGTTGTTGTTGTTTTGTTTTGTTTTTTTACAGAAGAGGTACAAGTCCCTTCTTTGGTCTGAGTATTTGTGTTCCCCTCAGATCTTACCTTGAAATCATGCTTAATGCACAAGCATGAAGACCTGACTTTGATCCTTAGAAGCAATGTAAAAAAGCTGGACAATGGCGGTATGTACTCCCGATCCCAGTGCCAGAAGATGGTGGGATGGTACAGAGACAGATGGCTTTCCCAGGGCTCACTGGCTAGCAAGGGTACTATAATTAGTGAGATCAAGGCCAGTGAAAGATCTTGTCTCCAAAAACAAGGTGGATAGGATGACTCTGAGTAACTTCACTCAAGATTGTTTTCTTGTCTTCTCTCTCTCTCTCTCTCTTACACACACACACACTCATTGCTACTCACATGAACAAAAACACCTACACACAAACATACAAATTGTTTTTTAGAAAAGAAGTCCTACGACTTGAGGAGATGGTATTAAGAAATGGTTGCTTAAGGATTGCATAAGGATGGATGTAATGGTGGCAAAGCCCTCATGAATGGGATTAGTCCCCTCCCAAAAGATGCCTTGAGGTATTCCTTTATCACCTCTCCCATGAAAACATAGGAAGAAGAAGATACCATCTAATGAACCTGAAAGCATCCTGTCATACGACACTGGGATGGTTAGTTTTAGATGTCAGTTTGACCAAATATAGTATCCCGTGGGAAAGGTTATGGGCATGTCTGTGTGGGATTGTTTGGACTGAATTAAGTCCTCTGTGAGCAGAACCATTGCATGCCTTTGGGTCCTAGATTGTAAAAGAGTGGAGAAGATGAGCTGAGTAGTAAACATATATGCATTCATACTTGATGCTCTTTGCTGAGTGTGACTCACTGCTTTGAGCTCTTGCACCTTGACTTCCCAGCAGTGATGAACTGCCACCTGGAATTGTAAACTGAGTAAACCCTTTCTCATTTAAAATTCTTTCTATCAATGATATTTTTATCACATTAACAAGAAGCAAAATTAGGACATATATCGAATGTTTCAGAACCATAAACTTGGCTTTCCCAGTCTGCAAGATGTTACCACATTTTTGTTGTTTTAAACAACTCAGTTTATAATAAATTGATGTGGCATCCTGAACAAATCAAGGTTGTTCTTTCATCTGTCTCTGGATGATACTCATCTTAGCTCTGTTTATTGGTTGTCATGTTGAGAAATTAAGCACACTTAACATATTTTATGTAAATATGAGTGGATATAGGAATAAAAACTAGAATATTTAATAATGATATAGGTATATACTGGCATTAACAACCTAATTTTCTTCATCTATTTCTACTTTTTCTATATTTTCTTTGCTACTAACATATACCTTTTATGCTTACATTTCCTTATCTGTCGTATCTGGTTGTATGACCCAACATTCATTTCTGAAGTACCTGAGCAATCAGCAAGCCTGCTTGGGCAACTATACTTTTCCATTTGAAAAAAAAAAAAAACACAATGGAGCATGGCTAAGAGCCATCTTTGGAAATACCTTTATTACAAAAGTTTTCCTTTTATAGCAACGGAATTTCTTCATACCCAATATGTACAATTCCAATAATTTAATAGCCTTGCTTTATTGTTTATTTAAACTTATGTTGAAACATGTTGCAATTTGTATTGGAAGCATTCACTTGTTTGAATTAAGATCTGTGGAACTGAAGTTTGTCCAGTCACAGAGAGAGGATTCAAGATTGTCTCTAGTAGATCAGCAGGGGAATGCTGAGAAAATTCATTCATCATTCTTAAGTTCCCAGGTAGTAGAAAAAAGTAGCAACATATTTTAGGTACTGATTGACATCATATACTGTAGCATGGAGCCTATGGGCCAGACTTTCAATATATTTTTCCCTGACTGTCTCTGTAATTTGTAGAAGATCAGGATACAATGACTAATGCAGTGATGAAATCTTTGGAAGGTACATGTAGCATCAGCACTGCAGGCACATTAAGGCAGTTGCTGTGATAAAGTTCTCTGATAAAATCAACTTAACTGGGAAAGGATTTGTTTGAGCTCCTATTGAGCTGCGTACATGGTGCCAGGAGAGAAAAGCAGGAGCTTGAGGTTGAAGCAGCTGGTTGTATCAAATTTCTACAGTCAGAAGAGAGCAATGAAGGCAATGCATGTTCATGCTTGGCTTGCCTATACAGTCCAGACTATCTACTGCATACAGCTGATCTAACATTTGCAAAATTAACAATTAACTCTAACCATAGTGAACATGCCAAAAAGCCTGAAGTTCTTGGCACAAGGGCTCATGGCATATAATACTAGGCATTATTCAAGTAGAATTTCTTGGAATGTACCTAGAGACAAGTATTATTCTCTATTTGATCACGTGAATTACCAAATTCCAAAATTGTTCATTTTCCCAGAAACAATAAGTGACTTTTATCAAAGTTAGTCAATGAAATAAAAGGAAGAAGTCATGAATAAAACATTGAAAGAACTGCATAACCTTGACTGCAAAAAACTGCTGAGACCCCCTTTCCAGCATACAAAAATCTCTCTTTTAGTCTCATGAAGCTGTTTTTACCTTGCTTAAGAACACAGTTCTAGACTTGCCTTTAAGACTTGGATAACTAGAAATCTTCTTTGTTAATTTTACCATCCCCTATCCATTTTCTTCTCAACATCTATGTACACAATAAGATCCCGTTTTTTCTCTTAGACTATTTGGAAGGTCAAATATCAAGTAAAACCATGAGGGAAAGTTTACAAATGAAAGTAACTGAAGAAACATTAAACATTTTTGAAATAAAATTTGGAAGATATATGATAACAATTTATGGCATTTATCAAAAATAATGTGAATAGTTTTGGATCTGTGTGAAATATTTGGTATGCTAACAGTTTTAAGAGATTTTGTATTCACTGTGCGACTGAGACCAACTTAACACAATGCTAAAATTAGGCTAAATATAAGTAGAGTTTCATCTTAAAGAGAATGTGTTTGCTGAGAGCAGGACTGTAGTATGGGTTGTGTATTTATGTGAGAGAAACTGATTTCTGCTAATGAAATGGAAAGGAATTACGAGTTTCCAGATTCTCAGAATATGTCAGCTAGTCAGTCTGAACTGAGCTTCGGGACAGTATTTTTGTATGGTTTAGGGATGGTTTCATTATGTCTCCTAAGGGTTCAGGTGTTGGAGGCTTGGTCTTCATCATGCCAGGGTAGAGGTACTGGGAATTTTGTGGATAGGGCTTAGTGCTATGCCATTCTCCACTGTCTTCAGGAGGGATTTAGTTAGGGCTTGGGGTATCCTTGAATTAGTTATTTTTTAATTGGTTGTTTTTGTTTTCTGCTGTTGTCTGAGACAGAGTCTTATGTAACTCAGACTGGCTTAGAATTCATAATTTGATCTTTCTCCACCTGTTTCCTTAGTGTGTGTGTGTGTGTGTGTGTGTGTGTGTGTGTGTGTGTGTGTGTGTATGTCCTACCTGGTTCCTTAAGTTAATTTTTGTTGAAAGCCTGAACTTGTGCTGTTGTCCAAATATGCCACCAGAGGGCACAGGTTCAGAAATTTTCTTTTTTTACTTTCTTAGTTTCTTCTGCAAGAGTTTACTGGAGCTTACAGAATCTGAGAGAAGAGATAATATGTTGTTTCATTGTCACAGTTGAGTTTGAACTGAACTGGAAGCCAAGAGATTCGAGCTTGACATGACCTTTCCGTGTGACACATGCAGCAGTGACCATCCTGTATGTGAGATATCTCCTCACCTAGTGAGTTTAGGCAGTGGTGCCATGAGATCACAAAGATCACTTTGATGTAGGATGATTATACTTTATTAACCATTGAAAGCCTAGTCCTGAATATGGTGTTTTGTGTACAATAGGGCTTTATTGTATTTGAATTGATTGAAAATATGGCATAGTATAGTCACCCTCACTGTACTTACTTCCTTTTCAACACCCCCTCTCTACTCCCTTGATCAACACATTGATCCTTAATGTAGTTCTTAAAGTAGCTGTGTATGTAATCATGTACTTGATGTTATGTTAGGTCTATGGTCAATTAGTAGTATCACTATACCTAGAAAGAAACAGAGCCAAGGGTAAACTGGAGTTTCTTGATGAAATATTATTTTTGTTTCTATTGCTTCTTTGTTTTCATGTTCCTAGTTAATCTCAGTTAGAGGATGATTGATTTTATTCCACATTCTTCGCCCCATCTGTACCAGGAGTCCCTGGGTTAAGAGTGGGTGTACTGGGCTTTAGTGATCAGAAGACATGACTAGTTTCCCATTGAGCATTAAAAAAATCTAGAATTTGATAGCATTTTCTCTATGTACAAACCATCGTATAGCACCAATTAGAAAGAGTCACCAAGTTCTTGAGTATATACCTGCTTCTCGAATGTCATCCTGTTCTGGTATTGACAGGAAGAACTGTTTTAAATGAAGGATATATGTAGAAGCCAAAATTATCTAAAGTTTTACCCAGAGTACTAACCTTATTTTTTAAGTTTTTTTTTTTTTCCACGTGGCCTTGGTTTTGTGCATCAGCTTTGTAAATGTCATCCTAGGGTTCATGTCATGGTTAATTTGTAACTAAGAATGCTCTAGTTTTGCAATCGAGGGCATTCTATAAAGATGTAAAGGTGTTGCTATCTGAGAGATGCAAGTGGCTTCTTGGGCGTGTGCTGTAAGTAGTTTTCTCCTTGGGAACACTGAACATTGTTAATAAGCCAGAGGTCCGATAACTGTGAGTTTGAAGTCCATATGTTCAGAAGGCAAGGTCCAAAAGAGACCATCTGATATCTGACTTTCTAACCAGCCTTAATGACTTTGATAGGAAGAGTACTCTGGTGATAATATAGAGATTTGATCTAGAAGGGAACAAAGGAAGGCTGGAGGAGATAAAAGTCCCTCTGTCTTGCTAGGAGCTGACAAATTCCTTAAGCCCTTAAACTTAGGCAATGGCAAAAGGCAGTACAGATGTAGTGGAAAGAAGTTTGATAAGTATTCAGGCAGTATTCATTGGTCATCATGACCATTAGAAGTGGAGAATAAAAATGAGGCAAGCCCATTTGATATAGGTCTGTCTATAAACAGTGGTACAATATAGTGAGATATGGAAAGAAAATGAAGGAGTGGGTTTGGGAAGTTGAAAGAGAAGGTGTTTCCATTTGGAAAGTTAACTTTTCCAATGAAGACTGTAAGTGAACAAGCAGGGTATATATGTCCAATAACAGCTGGGTAGATGAGCAAGGATACAGTCAGACAGGGTGAATTAGGAGGAGTTCTGTAACATAGCAGTTTTTAGTATCTCTAGTGAGGACACTCATTAAGAAAATGTAAGTCTTAGAAAAGGGTCCTGTACTGCTTCCAGGGATCTCTTCTTTCTAGCCACTGTCGTATGAATATTTGTGACTCTATAGCTGACTCCCTGTTTCATAGTACCATTTCATAGTACTATTTTATGGTACTATTGTACTGGGCTTAGAAGACTTTAGGACCTCCTCTCTAATAATTACAAAATGACATGCATACTTGTAAGGATAACATTGTAAAGATCTGTTTGAAGAGAGAAATGATTCTCTAGGTGGCACTGAAAGAAAGAGGTCTCTAAAATAAGAATGTTATAACTTTTTTTTCCTCTTGTTTGAAAATCCTCTTCTAGCTCTCACACATTTTACAGGTATATCAATTCCAGCCTGTTATGTTGTGTATCACTTGATAAACTATTATCCTTTCATCCCAACTAGTCATTTCTTGTAGGAGTAGCTATACCCAAACCGAAATTGTACTGTGCACGTAACATAAACAGAGGGAGTGCTTGTTCTGTCTAATGATTCTTCACACTCATAAAACTGCATTTAGTTCAAATAACAAGTGATTCAATTTCTAGGAATTTAAATTAGTATCAGTATTTTTACATGCTGTTATTGTATGTTAATGAATTCATGTCATTTTATTTCTGTTGCCCAGGCAAGCCATTTCTCCTACTCTCTTTTCCTAGGAGACGTGTCACTGTCCTTTAGCAAAAAGAGAGACTACCACCCATATTTCTTGCCAAACACTCCATCAAATACTTTCTTTGGTTTTATAAAACAAGGTTGGTGACTTTTATGTTTCTCTGAATCAGGGTGTGTTTCATATATCTAAGCTTACCCAACGGTTATCTCACTTCATGTTTCATCTTCATTCCAGAATGTCAGTGTTCCTCTATCTGTTTTTCTTGGTATCTGGCCTTCAGGCTACAATCCATTGTGTGTTACATAACAGCTCTGAATACAAAGTAAAGACCTGCCAATTGCCCCAACCAAATGCCGCTCTCTATAAGATGCCATTTATCAACGCTGACTTTGCATTCAGTTTATATCGGAGGCTCTCTGTGGAGAACCCACATTGGAAAGTCTTCTCCCCTGTGAGCATATCTTCTGTGTTAGCCATGCTTTCTTTTGGATCTGGCTCTAGCACCCAAACTCAGATTCTGGAGGTTATGTGATTTAACCTCACAGATACTCCTGTGACAGAATTACAGCAGGGCTTCCAGCATTTATTTTGTTCATTAAATTTCCCAAAGAGTGAACTAGAATTGCAGATGGGAAATGCAGTTTTCATGGGGGAGCAGCTGAAACCACTGGCAATGTTTTTGGATGATGTCAAGACCCTCTATGAAACAGAAGTCTTTTCTGCTGATTTCTCCAATGTTTCTGCAGCTCAGCAGGAAATCAATAGTTGTGTAGAGAAGCAAACCAAAGGGAAAATTGTAGGCTTAATTCAAGACCTCAAGCTGAATGCTATTATGATTCTGGTGAACTACATTCACTTCAAAGGTAAGGCATCAAGATTAACTTCCAGTCTAGTATTCAGATAGAGAACTGGGGAGAGTTTATGGTCTCTTTATCATTGGGATCAGTAGCTGTCCCTCATATCACAGTGATTTTTCACTATTGTCTCTATCTGTGTATTGTGTTGAGTCATTCTAAGATGACATACTGCTCAGTGTATGTTTCTAGGAAATTTCTAAGGAGACAATACTTTTAGAAGTGTGGTTGACACTGTTATTAATGTTCTGATCATATCAGGCTAAATAATTGCAGTTTCTAATATACTTAATGAGGTGTGAAATCCTTGTGCTTGTCAAGTCGACCGAATTTGTATCTAAGCATAATATAGCTCTTACTTCTTGTGCACATTTGGGTATAATGGAAAAACCTTTTATTTTATGTTAATTACCTACTATGTGCAAAAGATTATGCTACAAAATATATACCATTAATAATTTTCAGTGAGGGGGCACAGAGAGTTAAGATGGTGGAGACCAGACCTGAGGAAAGGAAGGGTGAGAGGACTGAAGACCTGTAGAAAAAAGAGAAACTGAGGATGGGGACATCTCTGTGACAAGTTGGAGACCTAAGTCAGAGTAGGCTCTTGGGAGGATACGAGGGTGATTCAAGCAGAGATCCTAGTAGCAGAAAACATAGAGACTGAAGAGGACATACTCTAAGTATACTAGTCTTCTAATAAGTGGCGGTGAATACCAATCTACCGACAAATCTTTGACCCCAAATTTATCCTGCCTATGAGATGTGCAGGTATAAAGACAGAGCAGATAGAGCAGGGATTGAAGGATTGCTCAACCAATGCCTGGCCCAACCAAAGACCTACGCTATCCAAGGGTGCCAACCACAGACACTATGAATGTTACTCTGCTAAACCTGCAGACAGGAGACTAACAGAGTTATCCTCTGAGAG